TCGAGTCTGAGTTCCCTTTTGAAAACTACTAGGCTAAATGTGTTCAAAAATACAAGTAGTAAGTGCCTTCAAAAAAATTTGACCACTTATGTCATATTTTATACAAAAAATCGACTTTTGGAATCGTTAGAGAAACTTTTTGGTTCGAGATGGCGCATCCCCCGGTGGCAAGTTCTTTCATATCTCCCTTGTATAAAATAATTAATAAATCTTCATTATTATATACGATAGTAATGTTAAGTGAGAAGTGACGGATGTGAGCGTTCATAGGCATTTTTAGACGATATTGTAACCAACCAAAAGTCAGGTAAAGCTTTATTTTACTGTATACTATTTAAAGATTTAAAAAAGCATAAACTACTATAGATTTGATGTTAGTTCAGAACTACTTATAAACATATAGCGATTATCTTTACTAAAAATACGGATAGACATTATAAGATGCAATATTACTCTCCCCCAAAGGACTTGTGCTATTCTAGAACAATTCATCATTCAAATTTATATTTTAATCACGCAGATCAATACGATTATGCTAAAACAACAGTGTGGGAGCTTTTCTGCTGTTAAATCGACCTCACGTCGCTGCTTCGCTCAAAATCTCCCATGGTAATTACTATCATTTGTGTTGTAGAATGTTTTCATTTTGAACGTGCACATATTAATTTTCTGTCTGTATGGTATAATTAAAAGAATAAAATGTAAATCCAAATTGTCTGAAGTTTTCATTTATTCCTACTGCCATTTTTTTGTCAAGAAAATTATATAAAGGCCAGGAGGCAGCTCGCACCAAATAACGTTACGCTAAACCGATTTTGCGGATGTTTCCATGAAAATCCGTTTTTTTTTATCTAAAATAAGACAATAAACATTTTCCAACTCTTCGAATTAAAAAAAAACTCGAACATCGACATTCTGCTTTCCTGGTAGAAATCCACGGCGCCGAAACATTGAAATTTCCGGTGAAGCTGTGCGAAAACTCTCTTTTACTCCTGCTCTTCTCGCTATCTCCTTCAACATTCTGCTTTCCTGGTAGAAATCCACGTCGCCGAAACATTGAAATTTCCAGTAAAACAGTGCGAAAACTCTCCCTTGCTCCCGCTATCTCAAAGATTCTGCTTTTCCGGTAGAAATCGACTGC